TGTGGTGGTATCACAGTACTTGTATTTAAGTAACCCCCTTGGACAAGAGGGTAAGAAAAAGCATAACCACATTCTTTATCACAAATTTTATTATAGTATATCTTTATAATTGTTCTCTTCTACTGTTCATCATTGTAGTTAATCTCTTACAGTGCCCAATTTATAAATGAAACCCTATCATTGGTATGTGTGTGCAAGAATAAACAAAGTATATAGATAGGGTTGGGTACTATCCTGAGTTTGAGGCATCTACTGGGGTCTTGGATAAGGAGGATAACTCTATTTAGCATCTCCTTTGAGAAGGTCCATTTCCAGCGCTGAGGATAAGGGAATAAATAAGAAAAAAGTGGAAATTGCAAGATGAAAACAGAAAGACTACTATGGATCTAGGAAAGGAATTTTTTGTTGTTTTTTAGAGAGAGAGGGGGGCGGAGAAAGAGAGAGAGAGAGAGAGAGAGAATTTTTTAATATTTATTTTTTAGTTTTTGGTGGACACAACATCTTTATTTTATTTTTATGTGGTGCTGAGGATCGAACCCAGCGCCCTGTGCATGCCAGGCGAGTGTGCTACCGCTTGAGCCACATTCCCAGCCCAGGAAAGAAAATTTTAAAATAAAAGAGAGCATTTCAGGAACCAGCACATATTTCCTAACCTGGAATAAATTAAATCAAGAAATATCTGTACAGGAGGAGTAAGTATTTTAGGTCTATTGCACAGCATGGAGACTATAGTTAATAAAAACAAATTATATATTTCAAAATTTATAATTTGTGATAAATTATAAATTTATTATAATTTTGAGAGCATATTCAAATATTCTCACCACAAAAAAAATGGTAAGTGAGATGCTAGATACATTAATTAGTTTGATGTAATCCTGCCACAGAGTGTGCATGCATCAAAATGTCAGTGTCCCACAAATACATACATATTAATTTTTTATGATGTATTATTTTTATCATTGTCAATTCAACTTTTTGATGCTAAAAGAATTTAGCATGAAAATTTAGCAAGTCAAAGGGACCTGGCACTAAATGGAATCTCAGCTCCCCAGAAACGTGTTCACACATTTGCATCAAAAATGATAACTATCTGATAATAAGAGATAATTTTTCCCTTTCCAACCAGTGTCTCTATAAATCATGTCAATGTTCTAAAACAAACAAAAACAAAATTTTAAATGTCTGTAAATGATAGCTTCTTTCATGGGAGAACTTGGGATCTAGACAAGCATGTGTACACAGAGTTATATCTGCCAAAAGTAAATCCTTGTGGCATTTCCCAGAGCACAGAATATCGCACAATGCAAGATGCACCCACAGCTGTGCAGGAAGCCCCCTCTGCCCTGCTCATGGCCAGCCTGGGAGCTGAGCCACTGGCTTGGCCCCGGTTGGTCAAGTCCAGCCCCACCAGGAGATGTCACTTCTCTTCCACCCCACCCCATGCCTGCAAGTTCCTGATCCTACTATAAAACTCTCCGATCCTCAACACAGATAACGTTCTCAGTCACAACTGAAACTGGAAAGGAAATATCATGTCACCAGTTCAATGTCTTAATGAGCAAAAAGAAACTTTTCTCCAGCTCTGGTCATTTGAAAAGAAATATCTTCAATGAAAGTCTTTACTTGAGATCTGAAGTGCAAAGCATATTTATCTTGTTTCGGGCTATCCTTGTCAAGGAGACTTGAATTTAAATAAGGACACCCTGGAGCCTATTAATCTGAAGTGTTGGGGTAGCAGAGAAAGCCTGGGTATCCAAACACCAAAGATTGTAGAGGAGGCAGGACGGTGTCCACTCGGGATTGCAAATGTCTTACTGCTATTTTCCCCTGGATCCCTCTGTGGACTGGGGCACTCTTTGCTGTCCTGGAAGGAGGCTAGCACACACATTATTTAACATGTACAACTTCCCTCCCGCTTCAGAGCAGAGATAGAGTGGCTCTCAGGTGGCAACCAGCCTCCTGCTCCTGCTAAGGGATCCACACTGACCCCAATCCCACCTGTGCCTCTCTCCTGGCCCAACAGACTCTGCCTTGCTTCCTACACCTGCCCAGCGGAATGCTCCTGGCTCATCCTCTCGCACTCTTGGAATCTGAGCCTCTCTATTCCCACAGCCTCTCTCCCAGTTCTTCCCTCCTCAAGAGGTCTTTCCTCACTTAAATAATCAAAGCTGTCTTCTTGCATTGTGTCATGTGCCGGCCGCCACCCCTTCTTTCCTTCTTCCCTTCACAGCTTAGATCTCTTTAGGGAAGAATCTGTGCTGCCTCTTGTTCCTTCATCCCAAACTGGCTTTTGTCACATCCTTCACCACCCACAAGGACCCAAAGTGACTTCCTCCGTGTTCAATCCGGTGCTGCAAGTATATGCACAAGTGCCTCTTGGTTACATCTCCTGGATTTCCAACAGGCAGGCAACGTCCAGTGTGTCCACCGTTGAGCTGGCCACCCACCCTCACCCACCACCCCCAGCACAAACCTTCTGCTCTTCCTTCTTTATTCAGAGTCTTGGTGACAAAGCCATGGCACTCCCTGGAGCCCTGCAAGTCTTCAGATGGCTCTCTCCCTCTCCCTGGTGACAGTCATCCCTGTACTGAAAGCTTTGGTCCATGGCAGACCACTGCAGCACTTCAGGGTGGGAGGGTCTTGGGTGGAAGGAGTCAGCTTCGTCTCCGCTCTGGCCTCTCCATCCACTTCCACAAACACAGATTTGCAAAGTTCACTCTCCTTCTTGAATGATTCCAATGGCTTCTTATTACCTAAATCTAAAGCACAACTATTAACTTGACAGAAAAGTATCTCACAGTCGTATCCTCACCTACTGGATTACTCAGAGTTTGAGAGCATAGACCCGGCAGCTCTACTATTAACTTGCTGCGTGACCTAAGACAAGGTTCTTAACCTCTCTGTGCTTCAGCTTCTTTTCCTGGTAAACTGGGGATAATTATAATAGAACTCATACGGTTCAGGGACCATTGGATGTGCTAATATACACAAAGGTTTTGGAGCCGCGCCTGGAACATAGGATTGTTGGGTGTACTACTTGCGTGGACTGCCTGCCCACCCTAATTATGGTCACTTTTCTTGTGCCACCACACAGCACATTCCAACCACCAGCACACAGTTCCCCAAACACACCACAGTTGCAATTTCATGCTTCTACAACTTTGCTTTATTCTCTGTACCTGTCTACTCTATTCCCCTTTATGTTCTGGGACTCAGAGCAACTCTCACTTTGGGAGGCCTTCCCTAAGACCCCAAGACAGTCCCTTCCTGAGACCAGTGGCACCCCAAGTGAGTGTCCGTGTCTGTCTTGGCATGCGTCACTTCAACAATTGTTTTGTTGTTTTTTTTTTTAATTTGAGTTACCTGCCCTGGGTCACAGGTCACCCCCAGCTCTTCTCTAAGTACATAGATATTCTCCTCTATGCCTCCTGGCAGACCTACAATGAGCTGCCAAGTGGGGTGCACCTTTGTCATTCCTCCATTCTTTTATGGGCAGGAATCTATGTCCTGATCATCTCAGACTCTCCAGCACCTAGCAAGCTGCTCAGTGCAGAGTGGATGCAGAGTTAAATTAGTATCTCTTAACTAAGTCCATCAGAAATGAGCTACAACTTGCCAGGTGCGGTGGCCCACGCCTCTAATCCCAGCAGCTCAGGAGGCTGAGGCAGGAGGTTTGCAGGTTCAAAGCCGGCCTCGGCAATTTAGCAAGGCTTTAAGCAACTTAGTGAGACCATGTCTCAAAATAAAAACTAAAAAGGGGTGGGTATGTGGCTCAGTGGTTTAAGCATCCTTGTGTTCAATTCCTGGTACCAAAAAAAGAAAGAACTGAGCTACACTCTCGGGAGAGATGGAACCATGTGCAAGGACAGTTAGGGACAGAATGGTGGCTGTTGGATCTGAAATTCAACAGTGCCATAAACAAAGATGGCTGTAAGTCCCTCTCGCCATCATTAAATCGTTATTACTATATGAACATTTTCCGTAGTGCCCAGAGGTTAATATGCTCTCGTTTGATTCTGAGCGATCTTATAATTTCAGGTCTTTCCAAGGACATAATAATACAATTCACAATGACATTTTATTCCATGTTCTTGCTTCAAGGGTCATATGCAAAGTTCTGAGGAATTTTGCCTGGCCCTTACCTCCTGGGTTGCCCACCTTTGATAAAGGGTAGAGACACTCACCCTGACAACCTGTTCTTCCCATTGAGCACCAGATGGGAATGGCCACGAATGGTCGAGAATTAGCATCAGGAGCTGATGTTATAGTTTCTATGGCAATGACCTAAGACCGTAAATACAAGTATGTATTGCTTATTAATTGCTACAAAGGAATATGCTTTTTATAGTTGAAGCTATGTACAAGAAATTCAAAGATAAGTGTTTCTGTTTCAGTGTGTATCCCCTTTCCCTAGAGCATAGAGCAAGAACTATTCCGTTAGGCAGAAGAAAAGGTTGAGATCAAAACTGTTAAACGCACTGATTGAAATATCTCTGGGTGACCTTGAAGCTGGTCTTAGTGGAGGGAGAGCCACAGCCAACCCTGGAAGTCCCTGGATGGGGTGCCAACAGGAGCAGATCTGACCAGCAAACTTGAGCCTGAGGTCCCAGGCTATTTCCAGAATCCCCAGATTTAACATAGTCCATTCCAATTATGTGAAGCTGGCAAATGCATGGGGTCACTTTGGGATTTCTTTCTTTTTTTTTTTTTTGGCAGGGGGAGGTGGGTGGGGGAGTGGATTTCGGGAATTGAACTCAGGGGCACTCCACAACCGAGTCACACCCCAGCCCTATTTTGTATTTTATTTAGAGTCAAAGTCTCACTGAGTTGCTCAGCACCTTGTTTTTGCTGAGGCTGGCTCTGAACTCGAGATCCTCCTGCCTCAGCCTCCTGAGCAGCTGGGATTATAGCATGTGCCACCACACCCAGGCCTTTTGGATTTCTTGAAGTACTAAACCTGGTGTGAAGTTTAACCTCTTCCGATTGTGTTTTCTAAGGAATTACCACTGCTGGAACGAAGCGTGGATGACCAGGCCTGATCTTCCTGTGGGATTTGGAGGCTGGCAAGCTGTGGACAGCACCCCCCAGGAAAACAGCGACGGTAAGGCTGCATCATCCTCTGGGAAACGTTCCCCTGATGACATTTATTTCCATTTTTATGTTGGCATTTGGGGTATGGGCGGTCTGGGCAGGTGTAGGGTAGTTACTACCTGTCAATCAGATTCAGTTTCATTTCAATAGTCAGCTTTACCCTGATGAGTTTACAACTTTTAGAAAAAGAATATAAAACTTCACATATATAATTCATCTACTCTTGCTTTGATAAGCAGTTTTGAAGACAAGAGGAAAAAAAATAACTATGTAAGCATTTTTAGTAGGCTATAAAATACAGTTCAGCCTTCCCTGGTCCACGGTGATTGGATATAAAGTGGGAAAGAAAATACTTGACAAATAATTATAGATCAGTCTTTAAATTGTTCTTCCAGAACCTGTTTTTTTTTTTTTTTCATGTCACTTGATTCCTTTCAAAACTTGGATGTGTGGACGTTGGTCTTCTAATTTGCCAACTCTATGAAGCGGTGGCAGCCATGTCTGACCCTCTATTTTCATAAGTCCCTCAGCCCCCATTTCTCTTTAATATATTCATACAAAAAAAAGTTAGTGAACTGGGGACGGTTGATAATCTATGTCTACTTCCTCAGGTGTTGATATGAGATAGCAAAATGTATACACATGCATTTATGCAGAAACAATACCTATTCATAGTGGCACTGTATTCTAAGACTTGGCAGAAAGGAAGAAAGTTTAACACTTTCCGCTGTGCTGGGTCGTAAGTCATGAGATTTCCAAGAAGAATGGCAGCTAATCTCTTAGTAACTATGGTTAAAATTTAAAGAATGCTAGAAAAGTAAACATGAACCCCAAGGGCTTTCTGAATGCAGCTTGGGCATTGGCCAGGGTGTGTGGTTAAAGTCCAAATTCTATAGTTAAACTTGACATTTGTCCAAGATGTCCAAAAACACAAAACAAACAACACAACTACCAAAGACAATTAACATTCCCAGCATACCAGGAAGTAGTTTAAAAAGGGATAAGCCCTGGTAGGCCAACAGCTTCATACAAACGTACCTGCATCTGTGTTTGTAGGTAGCAAAATAGATGCAGAAATAATGCTGCCAGGTTCTTTCCGACTTCCAGTTTCGCTTTGAGTTTCTCTTTTTTTAAAAAATATGTTTTTAATTGTCAGTGGACCTTTATTTCATTTATTTATATGTAGTTCTGAGAATTGAACCCTATGAAACTCTCTTGAAGACACACAGTGGTCATCTGCTCTCTCTTGCCAGGGAGAGCATGTGGGGAAAATCAGTGATAAAACCAGGGTCTGGTCTCTTTAGTGCCCCACTCAGTGCTATGGACTGTCCAGTATGTGGGCAGGATTAGAGACAGAAAAAAACTCATGCTACCTTCTTCTGTGTGACCCAGGCATGTACCGGTGTGGCCCCGCGTCGGTTCAAGCCGTCAAGCACGGCCACGTCTGCTTCCAGTTTGACGCTCCCTTCGTGTTTGCAGAGGTGAGTGGAAAGCCATAGGAAAGCACGGTCTCCCTCCCCGACCTCTTAGCACTCGAAAGGATAAGACACAAGGTTGTGACGTCCCCATTTCCCAGGTACATGGTGTATGCTTCGTGTTTACAAAGCTAGTTAGACAGCTTTCCGACCTTCAGGATCTTAATGTTAAATGAAATTCTTATTTAACGGTTTTCTTTCCTTGATGTTTCTCGGTTGTTTTTCTACCAAAAGTAAATAATCTCCTAACTTTAGCGGAGTTCTCTGTGCCCGTGAACTCACTGGTATCAGCGGCTCCAGAGAAATCAAACGACTAACTGGATCACTCAAGTGAGATTGGTAGAGACAGTCCATGAATGGAAGTTTCAGGGTATTTGTCTCCTGTCTCAGGCCAGCCCAGCAATCTGTGTAACACAAAACACACACACACACACACACACACCCCAAGTGTGGTCTTTGGGCACTGCAATCCACATCCTGCTACTCCAGGCTTGTTATAAGGAGGACAGAGAGGGAGGTACAAAGGGGGCTGCTCCAGTCGAGAAATGCAACCCAATTAATGGGTTCATGGGACGCTTGGGTCAAGAGTCTGAAATTGCAGAACGGAGTAGGGGCCAGAGGAAGAGGGAGCTATTGAAGGGTGCTCCAAGGAGAGCACCCACGATCAAGTGAAATGTAAAGAGGTGTCAGGTAAAGAAGGCTCAGAAGCTGCCCAGGGGGTGAGGGGATGTTTGAAAGGCTGAGAGGCAGAACTTCCCCGGAATATATTTGCACCAATAAACACACTGAACACTCTCTCCCGTGCATTGAGTTCTTACGAGGTAGTCACTTTGCCTACCCTTTGATGCTCTTAGCAATCCTTTAAAATGGGCATTAAGATTCTCCCCCTTCTCCAGAAAGGAAAATTGAAGGAAAGAGTCTTTAAATGACCTTTCCACCCTCATCTAGCTAATAAATAGTAATGCTAAGATTTCAGCTCAAGCTGGTAAGTGCTACAGGCAGCGTACGCTAAAAGGAGTAAATGGTCGTTAGTAGTGTGTGCCAGGCCCTGTGCTGTGGAACTCAGAGGCTCCTGCCCTTGGGAAGCATAATTCCGGGTGGGAAGGGGCAGTGTACCAGCACCACCATGAGTGGTACGAGGGCCACCCTGAAACTAATCAGGTGGGCAGTACAGTCAGCATAGGACCTGCATTTATGCCTAGAGATGCATTAGCTGGGAAACTGCACCCAGGAAATGAAGCAGAACATCAAAGAGCACAAGGCACTGTCTGAAGAAAGAGGGGACCCAGGTACAGACAAGGAGGGTACCCCATGCAAGTGCAGATGGTCCCCCACTTACAATCGCTCCATCTGTGATTTTTCAACTTTACGTTGGTGCAAAAGCCATGCACATTCAGTAAAAGCCATGCTTCAGACTTTGAATTTGGACCTTTTCCTGTCAGGAACCTCTTGGGTGATGCTGGGAAGCAGCCACCACCTGCAGCTCCTGATTAGCCCCCATCAGGGAGGAAAAAACCACCCCTGCAGAAGGCCGTGATGCTCAGTTGAGGCACTTGACAGGTCAGGTGTATTAAATCCATTTTCAACTTCAGATCTCTCCAACTTACAATGCACTTATTGGGACACGACCCTACCATAAGTCAAAGGACATCTGTGTAGCCCTAGTAATAGGAGCAGAGCAACGTGGGGTCGTGTGGGAGACATTATTAGTACTTATTTAGGCAAAAGTGTTAGAAAGAGGAAGGAAGGAATTTTAGAAAGAGGGGGATGACTGGAGCCTCCTAATGCCATGTAGGGAAAATTAAACGCTCTGCAGACCAGGGTACCAGTGAGGCACCAGGCTGTCACACCATGAAGACTGAAGGAAGTCCACTTGGGAAGCCTGGCGTCCTGAGCGATTTGTCCTTTCTCTTGGAAGCCAGGGAGAGACCTCACTGAGGAGGAGTGAGAACCAGGACACTGGTGGCCTTGTGGCACATGGATGGGACGGAACTGTCATTGGAGGTAGGGGACCAGCCGGAGCGGAGTCATCCCCTCTCTGCCAGAGATGACAATGGCCCAGACTAGACACAGGACAATAGCAGGGGAAGGAGGAGGCAGCATGGAGCATGGGGAATGAAGCAGGTGGTAAAAATAAGTGTCAATATTCAGACAGCAAAATCGGGGATCTGAAATCCATGAAAGGAGCTGCCTTCCCTGCACTGTACCTGCCGCCATTGCAGCTTCTAGAAGTCTCGGGAGACCCGGCTGACTGTACTTGGGATTTTATCTGTTTGATTTCACTTTGGGATTTGAAGATTTGTACAAACCTCCCCAGCTGCCATCCGATAGTTTACAATGCTCCGAGAAGCAATTAATGGGAAATCGCTCTAAAATCCACAAAACCCTCTTTTTATATTTTTTTATTATGCTTTATGGCTGCGACGAAGGAGAGAGGGGAAGGCCCTCCCTGCACAGGAGAACGGACTAATAGCTGCTAATGCAAGCACTTTGGGCTGTTATTAAATATAAATCAGGGTGTTAGGAATGTCATAGGGATTTGCAGGTTATAATCACTTCCCTCTCACCCACCGTGGAGTTGTGCTTTGGCACGGGGGAGGGGGAAGCTCCGGGGCTGAAGGGGGGCTGAACAGAGATGGAGGACAGGGCAGGGCGCAGGGCAGGGCGCAGGGTGTGCCTCAGGTCGGTGGCGCTGGCTCCTGCCTCCCCCTCCTCCTTGCTACATCACCCTCCTCTTGCTGCCCCAGGATTTGCCTGTTCTTTCCTCTCATGGTGACCATGGTCTCCATCATCCCTCCCTCATTCCTGGACCAGATCAAGCATCATGTTCACTGACTTGTCTTAGAGAAGTGCGCATGGAGAGAATCCTCCTTTCCTGCTCTTTTCGTCCTAATTCTTCCGGGGAGGAAAATGATCCTTCACGTTTCTAGATTTCTGCCAGCCCTTGAAGCCTGGTTTTCTGACCCCTGCCCTCCTCGTGCCTTCTTCACCATGGTGAGTTCCTCCAGCTCTGAAGGTCCACCTGCCTCTTCTCTCCCCAACCCAGGGTGGCCCAGGACTTCTAAAGAGATGAGAAGAGAGCAGAGGTTCTCTCATCCGAGTCCCCAGGCTCAGCAGGCGCTTGGGTTCTTAGCGAAGAATTCGCTACTCATGTTAGCAAGACATTTTGCAGATTCTTTGAAGACGTTGCTCTTCCATCTTGACTTCTGATTGGCTCGCTGCCTGCTTTACGCATCTCATCCCAGACCCACACACGCATGCGCACATGCACGTGGGAACACGCTCGCACGCACTCCGGGCTCTGAGACGACTTTTGCAGCAGCCCTGACGGCCCCTCAGGTCCTCGTTAACCACTCCCACAGCTCCGGAGGCTGTTCCTTACCTACTTCCAGGCCAGCTGGTCTCCATAAGCAACTTGTGCAGCTGATTCTTAGTAGATACTTTGCTCTCAATTCAAACTTGTTAATGTTTGAAAACTTGCAGCTCATCTTCTAAACATCTTCCATTCAGATCTAAAATAATTCATCCATTCATTCAACTAAGAGATAAAACTTAAGAATCTTTTTTTTTTTTTTTTTGAGTTTTGAGTTTTCTTATCCTTCTTCATGCATCTTGTCGGAAATTCCTTTAAAAATAGCCCGGATCCAACCATTTCCCTGATCACCGTCCTTACCCTCTGAGCTCTACACTGCTCTGAGCTCTCTGAAGTTGCCTCCTAATTCACCTCCCTGTCCCTGCTCTTATCCTTCTCCTATCTATTCTCCACAAAGCAGCCAGAATTATCCTTTAAAATGTAAATTCAAAGTTGTCCCTCTCCTGCCCTGAATCTTCCAGTGGAAGATTCCTAGCAGCCTGACAATTAAATTGAATACGAAGCTTCCAGAGTTTCTGTGTGATCCTGTCCTTTGCTTTCCTGACACCCCACCCCTTGCTAATTTCCCTCCAGCCCTCTTGATCTTCTTTCTCTTCTGGAAGCATCCAGACATGCTCTTGAGTTTTTACCCACAGTGTCCTTTTGCCTAGGAGAGGGACACTCTCCCTTTGTCCTCTCCTCCTATGGCGGAGGACAAATTTGCATGTCCTGTTCCCTCACTGCATTCAGGTCTCTGCTTTGGTCACCTTTTCAAAGAGGTCTTCAGTCTCCCCAATCCTACCTGCCCTGATTTTCTCCACCTGCCCTGCCTTGGTGTTTATTTTCACCTTTCTAAAATAGAAGCATCAGGAAGGTAGAATCTGTTGTATTCTCACTGCTGAGAGCATATTCGGTGTCTAGCAAATTGTTGTTCTTTCATTGTTGAACGATACGATCAAGCAAACGAGCTGCTAGAATAGCATTGCAGAGAGGTGCTCAAGTGCTGGCAGTTCTGCTGGGGGGAAAGGCATGTGTACAAAACACAAGAGAGCACACACAGGGGCCTGGCACAGTCCCCAGCATCTACAGGCTGAGGACAGGGCCAGCACAGGGATGGTTAATTGGTGATTGTGCCAGGAAGGTCCCCTGGCCCAGCTGGGCACCCGCTGCCTCCATATGCTCCTGACTAAGCAACATCCTCTCTGCAGATCATTCAGTGAGGTTATCTCCACTTGGGAAAAAATGGACAAACCAAAGTCAACTCTGTCCTGGGTCCTGAAAATAAAACAGCAAGTCCATCCTCGGCAGAGGTCTCAGCTTCTGCCAGCTGTGCAGATGCGTTTATATTCTGTAGGTGGAAGTTTGCAGAGAGAACCCTCAAGCCTGAGAGGCCTCAGCCCACCTTTGCTGAGCTCCTGGGCCTCTGAGAAATGACAGAAGCTACGTGGGAAGTGCTTGTGTCTGATGGATAGGCAAGGGTGTTGCATCGGGAAAGAATATCAGATTTCGTGTCAAGATGCCGAATTTGACATGAGCATTACCCCCTCCATCAATAGAGGTAGAACTAGATGATCATTAAGACCCTTCTCCATTTAAAATAGGGAGAATAAATAACCCTGAAACCTGAAGAGTTTCCATAAGTAACTCTAACGACCAGTCTTTGAAGAAAGTATTATGTAACCTAGGTTCAGAAAGATTCAGTAACTCAACCAAATTCACACAGCTCAAGTTCAGTATTCCTTGCAGGATACCCTTGAGTTTAACAATGAATGTCCCTACTATATAGAGTCACTTGGTTGTGGTGGAGCCTATCACTGGTTTTTGTTTGTTTCTTTGTTTTTCTTTCTTAAAAGCCCCTCGGTGATTCTCCTATAAAGAACCATTACACTAGTGGCCAAAACTGAAAATAAAGCTTATCGATATCACTTGGAAAGAGGACTTTCCCTCCACCTCCTACCCCCAACATACGTATACAGAATCCATCCCATCTATGTGTTTCCCATTTTCTCTCTACAAGGGACAGGGTTGTTGGGCTGGACTGGGATTTTAGCCTCAATTAACTTCTTAACCCCTGCTCAAGGGGAGCCCAGGATTTGCCACCTTGATATTTAACCTTGTCTCTCTAGAAAGCCATGAGCTGCTGTGAGGGCTGTTATTAAAAGGCTATTTGTTGAGATAGTGGCAGGTGGAGGAGGAGCCCCCTGGGCATGCATGGCCCCCTCCAGAGGGAATGCCAAAGTTCTCAGGCAACTCACTTAAAGTTTCCTTAATTTATTTCTGAAAATGACAAATATTCCTTAGATGGGTTCTCTGTCCCTTCCTGTCCTGATGCTTGATTGCATATTTGAGCCTTTTATTTATGTGGCTAGCACCTTGAGTTCTGCTGAGGACTGGGGTCACCATCAATTACCCTCAGAAATCTGAGTCTCAAGTGTGGAAACACCAAAGCACCAAGCATGGTAGTATTCAGGGCTCTATGGGGTCATGTGGAGGAGGAAGTCGGCTATGAAGGCCAGGTACATGGGCCATGAGCCAGCCCCAGGTGAAGGCCAAGGGGATGGGCCATGGGACAGCCTGGGATAAAGGTTAAGATGATATACTAGGAGTTGGCTGAGGACTTACACTTCTCCACTCTCTCCAAGCCACAGTCACTTTGCCTGAGCTTTCTGAGTTTTAGCAATCTCATATCTAAAGTACGGATAATGATGTACACCTCACAGAATTGTTGTGTTTCAAGATATCCTTGAAACATTGTGGATATTCAGTAAATGTTGGCTACATCCTTCCCTAATAGAGACCAGACTTCATGAAAATTCACAACATTTTGTGGGAACATGGAGAAAATTTGATCTCCGTAACCTCAATTTTAAAAGTTAGGAATACAACATCTTGTTTCCCCAGTACCTAATAATGGCCATTCCATTTTTACTCAATTTTGAGATTTTTCAAGTCATATTCACATAGATCTGATCTCACTGTGGCCTCAGAGCTTCTATAAGGTTGGCAGAACAAGTGTAGTTAATTTTCATGTTATAGAAGCAGGAACTGAAGTTCGTAGAGGTTAACATGACCTTCTCAAATGAATGCACCCAGGATCAGAGCTTCTGGTAGCTAACCCAGTGTCTCTCTCAAGACCTTCCTCCCAGGTGCTGCACCTGCCAATCCCTCTGACTATCTCAGTCTTCCTTCCCTCCACTCTTTACTTCTCAAACTCCTAAGCATCCTACACATTTCAACTTGGTTGCTACTTTCTAGCCAACCCCCTTTCTCTGCCACCATCCCAGGAACTCCCAAGTATCTTATCTTCCTAAGGTACTTATTATACTGAAATGCAGGAGTTCATTAAAATTGCCCAATGCATCTTTTAAAAATATAATAGACTTAGAATCCCACCCAAGACCTTAACCAAGCATTTCCTAAATTTTTTTTAAAGTTATCCAGGGGATCTTCATGCATGGAATCTCCCTTACTACTGTGTAAGCCCTATTTGGAGGGACCAAATCTATTCGGTTCATTATGAGGACTCTGGCACTTTGAACAATATCTGAGAATACTATTAAATAATGCATACTTATCAATAACATGTGCTGAGTGTGAGCTCTATGTCAGGCACCATGATAAATAGTTTGCATGCATTTATTTCAGTTAATACTGCCGGCCATCAAGAAGGAACTATTATTACCCTACTTAAAGAGAAGGGAAATGAGGCTGAGACAGGGACTTGGAAAACATATAGAAAATACATCATGAATATGTATTTTCATGTTTCCTACCTGCTACTATGCTAATCAAGGAAACACCCAAGAAAAGTATTATAAAAAATGCAATAACAGTCTCTGGGAGAATCAATTTTCAAGCACAGATTTAGAACCTTGGAGGAGTTTGGGCATCATGTATTACCGTCTCAAGATAACTACTTCCAAGTAGCACATTTTGCTTGCCGAACCACCAAAAAAATTCCTTGAACTTCTCTTGGATGGTCTAGTCTTATCCTTCTACTAAAATACTTTTGGCTGCAAGTTACAAAATTAATATGGCCCAAACAGTTGGAGATTTGCTTTTCTCATTTAAGAGACCCTGCAGCAGGCAATTCCAAGGGTGGTTTAGCCACTGAATTGCATCACCAAGCCCGCAGACCCTCTCCTTGTTCTATTCTGCCAGCTTCTGATTGGCAGTGGTGTTTCTCTTTACTGTCCTGAGGTGGTTGTGGCAGCTTCAAACATCACTTTGCATGGAAATATCTGAAAGCAGGAAGAGAAAGACAGACTCTCCCATGTACCTCTCTCTCCTTTTGCAAAGGAGGAATTCTTTCTGGGAAGACACCTGGCAGACCTCTTCTCCTAGAAGGAGGTCACACCCTCTACCAGCTTAAAAGAGGTAAAAGAAGGCAAGAAATGGACATAAAATCCTTCTGGCTGTCTCATAGGAGGCTGCATTTACCAATATGAAAATGGGAAAAGGAGATGGTTGCTGCTTAGCCAACTGATAGCCCCAGCCCCAGATAGCCTTCATTTAAAATACTCATGAGTACTCAAATGCAGATTCTCCCTTCAAAATGATCTTACAATGAATGTGGTCCTAGGAATCCAGTGCTGTTGAAAAAAGGGACGATGCGACCCTAGGGATCTGTAGATGTCCACCCCCATGGAAAGTTAAAGATTTTGGTGACAAGGACATTTCGATTTTGCCTTTTAAAAAATACAGACATAATATTTGTACATCTTCATGTGGTACATGTGGTAATTTGATACATGTATACAACGTGTAATAAATCAGGGCATAATTTCCACCTCTTCAACCATTAATTATTTTTGTGTTGGGAATGTTTTACTCTTCTAAAGTCTTCTTAAAATATATTCTAAATTGTTTTAATCAATAATTACCTGACTGTGATAGATAGACAGAGAGAGAGAACAAATTCCTCATCTCTTTTTGTTGGTGTTCTGTATTGAAATACTTTCCATTCTTTCCCAATCTTTAGGAATCACTCTTTCACTCCTTTCTTCCACAAGATTGATTTTTTAGTTTCCACAAAGGATAGCATGTAGGATTTGTCTTTCTGCGTCTGGTTTATTTCAACTAAAATAATGACCTCCAGTCCCATCTGTGTTGCTGCAAACGATAGGTTTTTGATTGTTGCAATGTCTGAATACTATGGCATTGTCTATACACCACATTTTCTTTATCCATTCATCTACTCATAGGCACCCAGGTTGATTCCATATTTCAGCTATTGTGAGCAGCGCTTTGATTGGCAACAAGGTCCTGTGATAATGACGAATTCTCTCCTCTCCTGTTTCCAGGTCAACAGTGATCTTATTTACATCACAGCTAAAAAAGACGGCACTCACGTGGTAGAAACCTTGGATACCACCCACATTGGAAAACTAATTGTAACCAAACAACTTGAAGGAGACGGCATACAGGATATTACTGATACCTACAAATTCCAAGAAGGTAATTTACCACAATTAAATGATTTTTTTTAAAGTTTTGCTCCAATCCCTACAACATACAGTCACTGTCACCCTGAAATTTGTTTTAGAAAATGCACTGGCATTTGAAGCATTTGGAAGTCAAAATTCTCATGAGTGAAAGACACATCACAGCTTCAGTTCTCCATTGTAGTTTTATTTGGTTGCTTGCTTTGGGCAGAATTCTCCTTCCCTTGGCTTGTGAAATGAGTTGGTTCAAAGTTGTATGTATTTAAACAGAATATAGAATATGTTCTTGTTGACAAGGACCTTCATTTTAAATAATCCTTTTAGAACACACAGTATAACTAATATAATCTTATCTTTAGTCCAATAATAGAAATTTAAATAACTGCTTCACATTTGTTTAGTACTTTACAAATTATTTTTAATACATTGTTCCACTGAATTGTCATAGAAACCCCATGATGGAGGTAATGTAATATTAATAGGTTAGTAATGTCTCACTAATTCAGGCCAATTATGTTGAAGGCCAGTTTCAATTATAAAATAATGTTATAGTGGGTTTTTTTGTTAACTTTTATTGTACAGAATACTCCAAATGACACTATTGAGTTCAATTTCATCTAAATCAATACTGAGTGTCTCCACAATTGGTTTGGTGTGAGGCCTCCTAGCAGAGAACAGGACATAGTTTCTGTCCCCAGGCAAGAGATAGGATTATTATTCAGAGAACAAAGAAGATGGATACTTGATCCAACCAGGAGATGCAGAAAAAAGTGAAGGTCAGGAAGAGAGGTCACAGACCTCAGCTAAAGAAAACTGGACAGAGCTTCCAGGCAATAGGAACATAGTCCAGTATGTTTGGGGTCCTGCAGGCCTTAACAATGCATCATGCTCAGACGCCCAGTGACCAAAGACAAAGCTTCCCAAGGTCAATCAGGGCCAGAAGGTGAGGATGTTGAGTGTCTTAATGGGAAATGTGGAATATATTTTGCAAATGATTCACCTCCAGATATTCTTGAACGCGGCATTTAATTTGGTGAATGGATAAAAAAATGATAAGTAATTAGCATATACCTAAATATTTATTGGTATTCCTGAAGTGCTAAGGAGTGCAGGAATTGTTTAAAATATTTTAGACAGTCTCCTTGCTCTATTTACAAAAGCAATTTGCACTATAAAGAAAAAGCTTGCTGAATTAAAAATGAGGGTGCCTCACGTTAGAAATTCAGAATTTTTGTCATTTGAACTAGTGAATTTTTACTGCATTTCTGAAAAGGTTGCTTCTCTCCTTCATTTGGTTATCATCCATGGCATGACATAGATAAAAAGGGTTCTTTTTCCTTTTCCCTGAAAGAAAAGTTTTTTTTTTTTTAAAAAAAAAAAAAAAGCACGATAAAGCAAAACAAACAAGCAATGCCCTCTTATTATAGAATTACAAACAAAAATATTTAGAAAGGGAAAAAAAAAATTCCGTAGAAAATGTGAAAGAAACTAGCTGCAATGTTCTCTCATTAGATGTTCCTGCATTCATCTGTTCAACAGCTTGCACTTAACCATCTGCTGCGTTGCAAGTACTGTCTGGGGTGGGGGCATGCACGGTCCTGCCTTCCTCTCCAGCTGCAGAAAAAAACAGAATCAAGCACTGGCCAGGCTAGGTGAGAATTGCTCTGGCACAGGACAGACAGATGCTGCCCCCAACCCAGACTCGGGTCAGGGAGGGCCTTGTGGTCCTCACCATACATATTACTTCTGCTGTACTTACAGGGGCTGTCATCGTTTTCCAAGTAGATTTGAAGGAGCAATTCATTTATTCCCATCTTGGGGCCCCCCAGAAGGGGTGCTGTGATTTATCCACCTGTTTAATCACACTGAATCAGCACCTCCTGTGTGCCAGCGCACTGGGCACAGAGCAGTGATCACAGCACTGATGCTGAAGAATAGATGGGAAATGGCGGGGAGCACTGGGGTGCGAGTTCTCCAGGAAAAGTCAGGGAGACAGAGAATACAGTGTGGACTTTCTTACTCTGAAAGAATGAAAGGTGAGCTCATGAGCTCAGAGCAGTCAGCAAGCCACACAAACAGATGTCTTCTCCAAAACAGGCAGCAGAACACAACTGCCATTAACTGTCAGGCTCATCAGTGACAGGTGACAGTGAAGGCCAAATCAGGAAGGGGACAGCATCCGATGCCAGGAGAGGAAAGATCAAAAGTATTCCAGGAAAGAGAATTTGGGGGATTGGTTAGACAAAGACCAAAATAAATAAAATGCACCAAATGTCTGTAAGGAAGACTTCTGAGGTCCTGGCCTCCAGAATTGGGCAAGAAAACCAGGATCAGGGCGAGGTCAGTGTGTGTTCTGATCCAACTGGAAGACCTCCTACATCCACATACATAGTTGTAAGAGACCACCCCCCCCACCACCATGCTGCTTCTGGGCTGGAATTTGATTCCAGGTGAATAATTAGTCTCTTAATCAAGGCTGGCATCTACATTTCAAACTCAAATTTTGGAAAGGATGGCGTGGAGTGCTATTTTGAGAAGGATGCTGAGAATCCCTCTGAACGGTGAGGAGAGTGATGGATTATTGATGTCTGCCATGGGCAGATAGTAAAGGGCTGGCTGTGTGCGCGCCACTCTGATCCTCATAGCGAATCCCTCATATAATTTCTCTGCATCCACAAGCACTGAGTGTGGATACTAAAGCAAGTTGAGTAAAAACATAGAAAAGAACTTCTGACCAGACTTAGGGATCAATCCTTTTAATTAAATAAATTGCAGGAAGATCATTTTTTTCACTTTGACAAATGAAAGCTTAATATCAATTTTATGACCTTTTTTTCAAAATATAAGATTCAGCAACTATAAAGCATTGAAAACCAGAATTCGGAAAGCTTACACTGTGATGATCTGTCTTCTTTTATGATGGTGTCTCCACCCCAGTCCTTCTTTACTCCATTAATTATGACCCCTCTGTCACATATTTTCATCTCCCCTGCTCTAGTTTTTCCTTTCAATTAGCATTGCAGTGTTTGCTACATTAATTAAAAAAAATTTAGCAGGACGTGATGGCGCACACCTGTAATCCCAGTGGCTTGGGAGGCTGAGGCAGGAGGACTTCGAGTTCAAAGCCAGCCTCAGCAATTTAGTGACGCCCTAAGCAACTTAGTGAGACCCTGTCTCTAAATATTAAAAAATGGCTGGGGATGTGGCTCAGTGGTTAAGTGCCCCTGGGTTCAATCCCTGGTACCAAAAAAAAAAAATCACAAAACCCTTTTCAACATGGTATTCCACACCAAATGTGCCTCGTTGTGTCTTTGCATTGTGTTTTCATCTTGAAACAGCTGCCTGAATGTACATCCTGTCTTCTTCCTTTCCCATTCCTTCTTTGCCCACTGGCACCCTGATTTCTGCTCCCAGCATACCCTGGAAGCTCTTCTTCCCAAGTTTGTGCCATGATAATTTCTTCCAAGAAAAATAACAGCTCTAGCTTCCCCACCTCATCGTCCCCTTCCCTCAGTTTAACCCCTGCCTTGCTGCCCAAGGGATATTACCTGACATTTAAGCCAGAGCCTGTGATAGCACTGCTCAAAAGCCCTCGCTGTCTTCCCGTTGCATTCAGAGCTTTGCAATCACAAGGTCTCTCTTTGGTTGATTCTCTCCCCTCACTACACCTCCTGGCAATGCCCCACCGACATCAGACACAGCACCAGGCACACTGCTGCCAGTTCCTCCAGCAGCCCAAGCTCCTGCTCACCCCCATGCCTCTGCTTACTGTGTTGAAAGACCCCCTCCCCAAAGGCTCCCTGCCCCCAGGCAGGTCGAGGGTCTCTCCTTCATGTCCCCAGACATTCCATCAACATCTGCCCCAGCATCTGTGATGTGCGTGTCTACACTGCGATTGTTCTCCACTGGTCGCTTCCGTGCCCATGAGGGCTGTGTTTCCATCATGCCTCGTACTTTGCCTGCGACATCATGGAGGTTATCACAGCACAAAATGACCACCCGAATGGTCACCAAAACAGCACTTTCCAGATGGGATTAATTGCATGTAAAATGATTTAAACTGGACTATTTAAATTTATTATGAAGATGGAAGCCTTCATAATAATTTTAAATAGTCCAGTTTAAATCTCTGGCTGAAAGCAGCTTGTGTCTGCAAACCTAGATCCTTCAGCCAGGAGGCCCCAGGTCCTGGGGACTCAGAGGCACATAAGACAGACCCTGTCCCTGGAGCTAGGACTCAGCAGAGGAGGTGATGTCATACAGAGGCAAGGGCTCTGATGAGGAAAAGGGAAAAAAAATACATGTGTTAGAGAGAGATGAGAGGGCTAGGGTTTGGGCACACATTGCACAGAGCAGGGAGGGGCTCAAGCAGCTGACATTGGAGCTAAGACCAGGACCTGAGAAGAGGCTTCATCCAACATAAAAAGATGGCATTACTTCCTAGTTAACAGGAAGATGTTTTGACCTTGCTCCTGAAGGCTACAGAGGAATCTCAGAAAATACAATCTCTCTTTAAATAACCTCTCGTATCACTACAAGATTGCCCGTGGCCCTGAATTTTGTAAGACACCAGAGCACAGAGGATAACTGCCGAGAAACAGGAATTACTCTGTCAGGCTCTGGGAAACCTCAAAATTCTCTCCTGCTGGGCCCGTCCTTCCTGTAATAGCCCAGTTGGCCTCTGCCTGGCAGTGCCCTGCTCTCAGGGGCAGGTGCTTCCCCAGAAGGAGGCCCAAGGGTCCACCAGCCAGGACATCTCTCTGGTTGCTCGCAGCTCCACACAAGCTTTTCTCCTCCCCTTCCCCTCCCACAGCCAGCTCAGCTTCTGTCCCCAAAGGCAGCACCTCTCTCCTCTCGTTCCCTCTGCTGGAATTTGCCTCCTGCCTCTTACCTAAATGCATATTTGGCCCCCATCCAAAGTGCTGATCATTACTGCCCTCTTGCTCACGGACCCGTCTGCCAGATGATGTCCGCTAAAATATCTCACAGCACTTTCTGCTGCCCTGGCCCCACTGCCTGCTTCCCTTCATTATCTTCCTCCTATTGATCCGTCAACATGTGCTGTAGCCAGTGCTTGTCCTAGACCAACCCTTTCTGGCACATTCTTGCAGTCTTGACAATCGGGGAAATTGTTCACACACACACACACACACACACATCCACGTTTGCACAAAACACCTGCTGGCATTTCCTCTGTCCTTCCAGAGGGTCTTCCATTCATTATGCATCTACTCCCTGTGATCCACCTAACCACTCTACGATGAAGCTGTCCTGATTTTGCAGATGTGGCAATGGATGACATTACAGTGCCTCGCTGGTGGAGTTGTTGGATGAGATGGTGCCCAGGCATCTATCCCAACGCCTGACACATAATTAGCACTTAATAGGAGTTATGATTAATTGGCCTCTTCACCATCGTTGCATTCAATTATTCACTAGTTAAAGTAGAAGAAAATATCTTAAAATTAACATAATTATAAAAACCAGCATTCTTTATTTAAAGTGTCTTTTTGTTCCTATTAGCCATTGTGGTGACTGGTTTTTACAAGTCAAGGAATTTGCCTTCATCTCTTCATCTCTGTCCTCCATGATGCATGAGGATATCAGAAGCACCAAGCTCATTTCTGAAGCCAAATTTCATGTAAAACTCTGTGGGGACAGTTAGCCTGGAGTCAGGCTAATGGGAGTTTTCCTCTTCCAAAGAAACCCTTTCTCCATCTCCCCTGCCCTCATCTCCAACCCAACCACCTCAATAACTCTGCAAGACACTTCCTCAAAACAGCATCCACATCTCAAACTGCACTAGAACTTTGGTGCACCCCCACAAATCAATTGACAGCCCTTTACAAACAGATCAGAACACAAGAGATATTTGTGTTCAGGAAAATTGAACAGGTCTCCTTTCTGGAGTGTTTTTCTTTATTTTTTTTCATTGTTTAATCGGTGCATTATAGTTGTACACAGTGGCGAGGTTTGTTGTTACATATTTGTACATGAACACAGTATAGCAGTATAATTTGGCCCATGTCATTTCCCATTATTTCTTCTTTTCCTCCCCTCCTCCTACCTCCTGGTCCCTTTTCTTTACTCTACCGATCTCCCTTTGTTTTTTATGTGATCTCCTCACCCTTTCTTTTCCTGTTTCCTCTCTAATTTGACCTTCTGAATTTGGCTTATTTCGCTTAACATAATGGTCTCTAGCTCCATCCATTTTCCTGCAAATGACACGATTTCATTTTTCTTTATGGCTGAATAAAACTCCACTGTGTGTGTATCTACCACTTTCTGTATCCATTCGTCTGTTGGACACCTAGGCTGGTTCCAGTTTAGCTATTGTGAATGGTGCTGCTGTAAACATGGGTGTGCATGGGGATTCAAGCAGTGGCATTACTGCTTCTCAGCAAAGTAGGTGAGACAGGAACTTCTGTAGGGATTTTTATCTCAGAGCCTCTGATAGGCTACGGAAGGCTGTGAACCTTTAGCTATCTCTAGACGACTCAGGGTTATTCCAGCGGATCTAACCCAGAAACAGGGAAGACTAGTTAGCATCTTGCCAGATCCCTATGTCCTAGGGTGGCCATGATTTGGGAAAACTTTCTGCATTCTGCCAACAGCCAACTGACCACCTTAGAAGGTGGAGAAGGGTGGGGCAGGAGCCCTCCAGAGTCAACACAGAAAGGAACAATTAGAAAAGGCCAGATTGGGAAGAGAAGGAAGAGGGGCTTGTATGTGGGAGAAGGAACATCCAGGAGCCAGAGAAATCTTATATTGCAGGAGGCAGGACAGAAAGAGACAACTATTTCCAAAATCCTTGCTTAGTGGACTCCAGATTCCAGCTCTATGGCTAGGACTCAGGGCAGGAAAGAAATTGACACCACAGTTTGAGAAGAGTTCAATTTTTATTTAATGTTACCTGCTGCACCCTGGACTAATGGCCCTGGAGAAACAACCTTAGGAGCAACACCTTTAGTAACCTTCTTTCCAGACAGACCATGGCATGGCCACCTACTCAACCAGCAGCCGGGCAGGTCACTGCCTCTCCAAGAACCTCATTTTGCAGTATTTATTACAAAAATAAGCACCAGGGAAGTGGTGGACCTTCCCAGGCAGCCAACCAGGGCAGCGCGGTGTGTTTATGCAGATAACCTTCTCTTTGGTGGATTGTATTTTTTTTCCCCATCATTATCTCTGGGTCTTTTCTAGGTCAAGAGGAAGAGCGGCTGGCCCTAGAGACAGCACTCATGTATGGAGCTAAGAAGGCCCTCAACACAGAGGGCGTGGTCAAATCGAGATCAGACGTGGACATGGACTTTGAGGTGGAAAATGCCGTGCTGGGAAAGGACTTCAAGATCACCATCACCTTCCGGAACAACAGCTCCAACCGTTACAGCATCTCTGCCTATCTCTCGGGCAACATCACCTTCTACACCGGGGTCTCCAAGACGGAATTCAAGAAGGAGACATTCGACGTGGTGCTGGACCCCTTATCCTGTAAGCTAACCAGGGTGTGCTTCTCTCAGAACCTGGTATCTGGCTCTCTGTCCCAATGACTGACAACACCCACTCAGAGCTGTCTGTCAAATTCAAGTTCTCCCCAGAGCTCAGGAACGTGAATCACACAGGCAGAATTCTCCTATCCTAGAAATCCTCAGTTTTCATCTTTCTATTTTACACATAGAAGTGAACACTGAAATATTCAAAGCCAAGAACCCCGTGAGTCATGAGAATTAAAAGTAACCTCACTTCTGGCTACTCAAAGTGTGGTCCCGGCACCAGCAGACCAGCTGTGTCAGCATGCCCAGGAGCCCCTTAGCCATGCAGAATCTCAGGACCCACCCAAGATTCCTGAATCAGAATTTGCATTATACTAAAATCCCATTCCAAGGGGATTGCACTGGACAAGAAACTGGGAAAGGTGTCCAAATGACCCATCTCTGGAAATAGGGCACTTATTGATATCTCTCTCCTGAGATAGGAAAGGCTTTGGGGGCTGCCCGGCAGGAAGGAATGGTGTGTTTTGCTTTACTAACAAGAAGGAAGAGAGATATAACCTCTGCGTAGAGGCTGTTTCTTAAAATTGATTAGCGTGACGTCTAGGGAGAGACCCCATCATGAGTGGAAGCTGGAGGCAGAACATTCCATCCAGGAGCCGTGCAGGGCCTCAGGCTCTCTGCCGTCTCTCACGGGGCTTCCTTCCCAGCCTTTGCAGCCTCCCTTGCACACACATTTTTATCACTATAAATATTCAGAGTATTTTAAGCAGAGTGGGATCAACATGCGTTAGCTTGCATCCGGGATTACAGTTATGGCTGGTCTCATTTTTCCTGGGGTTGCTGGTATCAGTGGCCACACAACTGGCAAAATGACTCAGCCCGAAGGAACTGGTCTCCGGGCAGAGCACGTGGAGTTGGAGGAGACTGGGAAGGACCTGACAGGTTAGGGTACCGGATTTCTGTTGAAGGAAAAATGAAAAAGGAAATAAAAGGTATGCACACCGTTTTATAAAGCAGAGGCGAGTAAGATTGATGTGCACCCCCCCGGGTGACACACATGTCTTAATTGTTCTCAGAGTTTCTAGATCTGATGACTCTCCCTGCCCACAGTTCCCTTTTTGCTTATCCACCACGGTATGACATAGCTAGCATGCCAAACACCACACCACTTGGATCCTCCAGTCACTGGAATTGCGAGCCAGATAAACTCTTTTCTTTATAAAATACCCAAGCTCAAGTATTTTGTTAGCGCAACAGAAAATAGATTAAATCAGGAGTAAAAAAATGGTGGATACAGGACATATAAGAACTCTGTTTCCAGTGAGCTGAAGAGCCAGTGGAGGGTTTCTGAGATGCTCTAACAGGTTTTGAAAGCTCGTTGTGTTGAGAGACTTCAGGGGGAGCAGGGTCCAAGCCTAGTGACCAGTTAGGATGCTGCTGAAATTTTTCACCTGAGAGATGGGGTGACAGTAACAGAGTAGTGAGATCTAGTCAGATCTGGGCGTGTCCTGAAGGTAGAGGCCACCTGATTGGCCGATGCATTGGCCATGTGGTGTGAGACAAGGAGACTGTGGGGGAAATTGCATGTGGCAATACTATGGTCGGATCTCAGTAAAGATGAACTTCCAACATTATGGGAAACTGAGCTGGGAGGATGAGTTGATGTGTTCAAGACCCCTAAGAGCAGCCAGAGGCAAAGCAGGTGACAGAATCCAGGTCCCATTCAGGCAATGACGGGGAGCCCAAGGCTACAAACTTGGCTGATGCCCCTATTCCCTGTAGTCCAGCCCACATCCTTGGACAGGGAACCAGACAGCGGCCCTTTCCCCCTTCACAAGGGTTCTGTCTGTCAATGTCCTTCCTGGTTCTCCTTAATCCAATTAAAGAATGAGCTTCCATGAGTTATGGACTAGAAGGCACAATAATTATTTTTACAATAATAAAAATTATCCCTCTGAGTCACAGATGTAGAGGCAGCTCACCAAACCTAAGCCTGAGTCAATATTGACATAGCCCCGCCCACTCAGCCCACCCCAGGGCTGATCTTCAATAACCAGATGGGAGTCGGCAACTCTTCCTTTACTTCACAGATAGGTGGCACGAAATTACCTGCAATAAATTGCATATTGCCATCTGAAATAAACTGCCGTCCACGGCCAAAAGCCACGTCCTTGTAGACCCCACTCAAGCACTCTGAGGTGCCTCTGTTGCAAAGAAAGTTTTCCAAGTGGGATGGGAGACATACTTTCCAGCCTGATGATTAAAGGGCGTGTGTGGGCCAGAATCAGCCTGGGAGATTTGAATAACTTAAACCTCCCAGTACCTTCAAAGGTGCTATCCTTTCCACTTGGCTATATTTAGTTTTCTTTGCTTTTTGAAAAAGAGTGGAGGCTGCTCCAGTCTGTGTCTCCCTTGGTTTTCCCCAGACACCGTAAATGATATTGGCCTCCTCCCAGCTCCGCAGCTCACAGAGTGAAAATCTATTCCTCCTTCTCTTGCCACGTTTAATAAACTTTATCTAGAACTATTTCTTGTGCAGTGGCAAAACACAGCGCTTACATAATGGACTATTTCAGGAGCACTGTTCTCTTGGGCTCTGAAACACAGCCTGATTTCTTTAGTGCTGTGTGATTCAGGGAATGTGCTACCTCTGAGAAGAAAGGAGTCCTGAAGCCGAGATTATAAGGGTAGCAAGAGCGTGTCCCACTAGCCTAAGAAACCTTGTGGTCAAACAAGGCCCCTCTAGAAATATGCAGGGGGAAGTTCATTTTTTATCACACTTACTGAGGCAGCTGTAGGCAAAGCACAGTGTCCTCCTAGACCTGACACTTTTCCACTCCGTCCATCCAGACCTAGGGATGACGAGCAGGTCATAAGCTCATTTGGGGTCATACTTAATGGAGAGAGGGCTGGAGCCTCACTCACTGGACGGCAGGAGGACGTGGGGTCCAGACTCAGGCCCAGTGAAGACTGTATGAGTGGGTCATTCAAGAAGGCAGCATTCAGGGATCAAAGTCAAGGTAAGAGCATAACTTCAAAGAATAGGCTCTGGATAGAATAGCACTCTCCTGGGAACCAAGCCAACCCAGCCAGTTGTTGAGTCCTCGTCTCCAGTGGACTAATATATTCCAGCCATCTCCAGAGCTGAGGGCAGGATTGCTCAGCCCTGCTTCTATTGACATCTGGATACCTCTCTTGTGGGGTTGTCCTATGCCTTGTAGGATATTTAGCAGCATCTTAGACCTCTACCCACCAGGTGCTAGCAGCAACCCACCCCCAACCTTTTTGGGACAACCAAAAAAGTCTCTGGACATTGCTATATGTCTCCTGGAGGGGACAAAAACAGCCTGCCATTGACAACCCCCAGTCTAGGATGGCCCATCTTTTTGGTTTTCCAGGAATCCATGCTTGATGTTCTTTGGATGCAGAACTTTCCATTTTACAATCCAACCTGTCCTAAATTTGCCCTAATCCTGCCAAATCTCCACCCCTTCTCGTGTCTGAGCCTCCTGTCCTGAGAGCTTCTCGCTTACACAGGCATCACCTGACATCTGATTCAAATCCTGACTCAGACGCGTGACGGAGCCAGAAAACTGGCTCTCGGTGATGGTGCTGCTGCTGGTGGGCAGCCACATCTGGAGTGGCAAGAGCCTGGGTGAGAAAGCTGTGCCCTTCCTTGCAGCCAAGGCTTTCCACGGGGCTGGTCCTTCAGGGCTGCCCCCTGGCGGTTGGAGCCATGCTTCCCAACGCAGGCTGCACATCAGAGTCAGCTGAAGAACTTGAAAAGAAATGACTGATGCCCAGCCCCCAATCTCCAACACTCTGACTCCATTGGTCGGTGTTGGGATCCGGAATGGCAGGTTTTTTGAAGACTCCAGGTGGTCGTGATAAGGAACCAAGACTGAGAACTCTTTTGATCAGGGGCTAGAGGCAGTATCAACACCTACACATCTGTAAAGACACTTCCAGGATGGGCACTGTCCAAGGCAGAGGCCTTTCCTGGACTCTTGGTCTTCAGGCCAGGGCTGGCTGCCACAGGTCCACTCCAGGTGTGAGAGTCCCACCAGGGATGATGACCTTGGCTGATGTGTCCTCCCCTGAGAGGCAGCAGTGAGTCAGGAGCCCTCCCCTGGGCCCTGGTGCTCCCTCAGCCATGGGCAGCATTCAGCCTCCTTAGGGGACTTCTGCTTAGCTGGGTGGGCTAAAACAAGCTGCTCTCAACACTTAAACCACCAGCCATGGGAGCAGTTCCCTCAACAACTTCTTCAGAAAGAACGCATTTTGGGCCAGACCTTGGGCAGGAAGGTAGAGGAGATGTTCAGTCTGTGACTGTTTATGGAGTGTGTGGCCTGTGGGTGGGGATGGAGGCATGAGTCACCCACTCACCTGCTGGGTCTGCCAGCTGACGTGGGGCACAGACACCTGGCTCTGGCCAGGTGACAGCAGATGCCAATGTGCTCTGGGCCTGCAGAAGAACTGCCCTTTGCTGTCTAGCATCCTGGGCTGTGGGAAATGAGAGAGAGGGCCAGAGCCACTAGACAGAACTCACCATAGGAGGACGATCAGAGGGGAGCCAGGGCCACCCCCATCTTCTTGGTGTCACCCTTTGTGGCTTGTCTCCAGTTTCTAAAAACTAACAGCAGTGACTTGAGGAAATAAGCATTTGGTCTTCTACATGACAAGTAGGGGAGGGAGGGAGAGAGAGTCGAATGCCTAGGGTGGGAACTGGGTGCACCAACTTCCGTCTCTTAATTAGAAAAATCATGATATCAGATTGGTACCAAAAAAGCTGGAGAGAAAATATAAAGTGCTATAAGGACAAGGTTTTGGTAGTTGACAGTTTTGCCCAAGGGTGGCCAATGGCCTTCAGGAGATGTTGCTTATTCTACAAGGGGATGGTTCTTGGAACCAGGACTTTGGACTTCACTGTTCCCCATCCGCCATCTTGGATTGACCCTACCCAAATCAAAACAGCCAATTAAAACACTCCTTGATCCTCCATTTTAGACATCTTTGTTATTGCTTTCCATTTTACAACAACAAAAAAAGCCATGTTTGGAGAGCTTGACACATTTTCTCTAGTAAGATTTCACTGAATATGAAATTTTCCAGCATATTCTTTCTTCACCCAAGAGACAGGAGGGCTTGTTCTGGATTGACTCTTTGTTCCATTTACCCCCAACCTTGGCTACGTTCCTGGTGACTTATGTGCTAATGTGGGAAGGATGAGAGACCTAGGGGAAAAGTAAAGCAGATCTTGTCTCAGGTCTTGATGACAGCCTGTTTGTTTTTCCTCCCATCAGTCAAAAAAGAAGAGGTGCTGGTCAGAGCTGGGGAGTACATGAGCCAGCTACTGGAACAAGGATTTCTGCACTTCTTTGTCACAGCTCGCATCAATGAGACCAAAGACGTTCTGGCCAAGCAGAAGTCCACTGTGCTGACCATCCCCAAGGTCATCATCAAGGTCAGTTTTAGCATCTCAGAGAAGAGAAAAAGGCAAGGTTGTTCATTAGATATGTGTGTGTGTGTGTGTGTGTGTCCTGCTCCAAAAAAAAAAAATAATAATAGAGTTAGGATCCTCCTGTTCTTTGAAAGAACTAATCTGCCCTATATATAGTCACGCACATATAACACTCCTCGTCTCTCCAGATTTAAATATATAGATGTGACTGCAGATATAAATATAACCTGTGGATATAAACACACTTGTGGAGGAAGATCAAGATGCGTAATGCATTACAGAGACTCAGAACTTTCCGTGTCTCTGGACTAAAGTGGGTCAGGCATGCCATATGATATGTGAGCCGCCTGCGTCACCTCCATCTGCGTCCTGGACAGTGGGATTGTTCACAGAGGTATAATTTTATACAGTAGGATCATAAGCTGAAATGTACAGTTCCGTGACAATGACTTTCGCAATCAGTAGCAGAGGCTCTCCAACACCCCAGGAAGTTCCTTTCTGCTTTTCCCTCTCAATAACCCCCTCGCCAATACCAAGAGGGCCACTTTCCCAACTTCCGTCACCGGGGGTTTGTTTTGTCCACTTAGCTGATGGTTGCAATGGTGCCTCACCAGGCACCACCAGACATTTCTGTGAAAAGCCCCCAGAGCCATGGCAGGGGAGAGCTGAGGGTGGGCGGGAAACAGGGAGCCTACTTCTCCTGCTTCCCAGGGGCACCACTGCAGCTTTGGATAGTGTCTGTCATCAGCCACCCCTTGAGACCCCTTTGCACCCTGGAATCAGGAATCTGAGCAGCTGGCAGGGAGCTAGGGGGGGTGACACTTCCTGCCACTTACCCAGGGCTGAGAGCCCTTCCCTAGGATCTGGAGAACATTCTTCTTGAAGTGGTTACATGATAAGCAGGGATCCCGAGCAGCTGCATTCCCCTAAAGTGGTAATGAATCAAAGCTCCATAATAAGCCCATGATATCTTAATGGCCTTCCAGGTGGGGGACAGTGGGCCCAAGTGGGCCGAAGTGGGGAGTAGGCCTTCTCTCTTGTGAATCATTTGTAAAGATGGTAATGGTAACCATCGGGTGGCATTCAAAGTGGCGGCTTTCTTTGGGGACATTTTTTTTTCTTTCAGTGACTGGGTTCTGAATGCCATTATCAAAGCTTCACATGTATCAATGGGTTTTGAATACTCAATAACCCCAGGAGGTAGGAAGTAGCACATTTCCACTCCACCCATGAGAAAACTGAAGGTCAGATAGGCTGTATAACTTGTCCAAGGTCACACCAGCAAGTAGGAGAGCTGGGCCTCCAAGCCTCGCAGTCTGGCTTATAGAGGCAGGGCTGGGAACTGGCTCCCTCCGCCAACTTTCTTGGTTTGTTCCTGTGTGGAAGGCACCTGAGCCACCCTAAGATGAGATCCACCTGAACCTGAATACGATGGTACTGCCCATTGGGGAACATGGAATACTCCAAGCCCCCTTTAGCTCTTTCACCCCAGTTACCACCTATAGACCCACCATGAACCTAAAAGGCCTTAAGAGCCGAGATTAAAATGAGGATGTGAAGGTTGCAGGCAAAATCAGAAACACATGCAAAACAGAGGAGTGTGTCCTGGGGCCACCCCAGGGGTGCTTCATGCTGAGAGAACTGGAATTCAACAGCTTGAGGCACAGAGGGCCACATCAGGGAGGTCTGCCCTGCTCCCTGCCCAGGAAGGCTGCCCCTTCATGGCTGACTGTCCTTGGAGAAGTGTGCCAGGCCCACCCCAGCTGCACAGTGGAGACATCTTTGGCTGTTTTCTTGGGGACGTTGAACAGGGCCTGTCTATGGACCCTTTCTCACCAGGGGCGAGGCCTGCAAACTCACCTAATTACAAAGCAGTGGCTCGTCCCCAAGAGTGCCTCAAGAGAAAGCTTTTCACGCTATGGAGGCTCACATCGCAGCACAACATAGAATTTAATTGCACCACTGATAATAATCTGGATGTATGAAGGAAACGGATACCTTTGATCTTTTAGGCATTATTAATTTGACAGAGCATTTGTTCTCTTCTGGGTTTACGGAAAGAGAAGTTTCATTCCCCACGAGCAGAATCAGAAATACCTTACTCCACAAGTGAGCGGACCTGGGCCAGGAGGGTATACTTTACAAAGAGTTGTTTCCATTTGGTTTGGTTTCCACCAAGGAATCAGGAAGGCTGTACCCAGTGGAAACTAATTTAGAGGCAGGACATTTGACTGAGACTGGAGTGTGAGGGAGATTTGAAATCTGGCTTTTGTCCAGTGTCACGTTTGTTCAGGAAAGAGGTGAGGGTGTGGCAGCGCACATGAGCCTTAACCACCAACCTCCTGAACCCCAAGGGTAAACCAAATCCGAATGGGGCAGGAGGTGTTCCTAGGAAGTGTCTCACACCCTCAAAAACCGCAGAGGCATCTCCAACCTGTGAGAGGACCTTCCTCATTCTGGAAACTCTGGCTACAAGATGGGGCGCCTGGGACCCAGCTTAGCTGACTGGTGATAGGAAATCCAGGACCATGGTCTGCAGATGACAGTTCTTACACTGCAAGAGATGGGGGCAGGGAAAGAAGACCCGAGGAAGACCAGGGAGGAGAGGGAAGAGAACAGTAGGAAAACATGGAATTGAATTGTCGCACAGGAGACCTCAGCAAGATGAGTTAGATGCGTGGTATAAAACAGGAGCTGGAGAGGGAGTTAAATGCAAGCCAAAGTGCAAAATCTACAATGGCTTGGAGGTCCAGCATTATCTAGGACATGCGTACCCAAATGCTAGGAAAATGCTAGAATCCTTCCTCTTTCTTTTTGAGCCTGAAATGGACTCCCCACTGACTGAATCTCCCAAGGTCACCATGGATCAAAGTGCCAGGCATGGGGTGGAAAAACAGGAGAGATGATAAGTTATGGGGACATGGCCCTCGGATCCTTAGCTCATGGACAAGAGGAGGGATAAGGCCAGCACACGGTGCTAACAGTGATAGCAGCTGTGATCTATTAAGCACAAAATTACTAGGCACTTCTCTCTCGTATTATCTTTTTGAATCCTCCTTGTCACCCTACAAGGTAGGGAGGTATTAGTAGAATCTTCATTTTTCAGATGTCCAGAGAAGATAGTACCTTGCAGCATAGGGCTCTGAGGCCAATTATAAGAGTTCAAAACCTGTTTTCTCAACATAATACCTGTGTAACTCTGCACAGATCATTGCACCTCTCTTAGATTCTGTTTTCTCGGGTGTGTCATAAAGGTGATGGCAATGCTGGTTTCCTGGGGTTCTTGTGAGTTTTTAATGAGCCAGTGGATGTCTGCTGCCTGAGTCACAATAAACACCTGGTATATGTTGGTTGCTGCTATTATTGCAATTGCGTCTGTTTGCAAGTGACTTGCCCATGATGGCGCACCTGGTGAGGGAAGGTGAGAAGCTTCTAATCTGGGTCCTTCTGATTCAGAAGGATATGCAGGTAACCACTGGGCTGCCTTGCTCTCACCCTGGGACTCTCCCAGGAAGCAGGGTTGAGGACTGCTTTGAGACTAAGAGGTCTATGTGTTTCGAGAGAGGAGAGATCACTCAAAGTTGAATGCTCATGACTTAAGACTGTAGAAGGGTAGCTGATCCTCGATGAATGGATGGCATTTAACCAATACAGATGGATGGAGAGAGCATTCCAGATACTAGAAGAAACCATGAGCAAGGGCAGGCAGGAGGCAGATGGCAGGTGTGGAGAGCAGCAAAGAGCCAGCCTTGGTTGGGATGGAGGTTGGAAGCCAGGCCTGAGTAGTGATGACCCAAGAAAGGCAGCTTAGGGCCGTTTGGAGGTGAGTGTCACATTTATGGACGAGAGCTTTGCAATTGACTCTGTGGACAAGAGGCTTCAGTCCACAGAGCATGGCTAGAACCTGGTCATCAACTCTGTCCTCCCCAGAGCCCTCCTTTCTTTCTCTTCGAGGTCTTGGACAAAGCATTTTCTGGTAACTTCAAGCTCAGCTGATACTGGAGTCACCTGGCAGCTAGACTCCAGCTGCTCTTACCCAGCTTCCTTTTTAGACGTTCCTGGAAGGTATTGGGCCCCACCTACCTGCATCTAAGTCATTATCAACCCAAGCCATTAGACCAATGGCCACATGTTCTTATATCCCAATGGATTCCATCTTGGATTTGATTTGTCCTCGTGGCAATAAAGATTGGGTTTGGGTTAAATTTGTTTCCAATTAACGATTCCCAGCACCCACCATGTGTGAGTCATGGTGTGTGATCCTCATATGGAAAATGGCAGGGAGAGACAGTCATTAAACTTTAATGAGCACACATATCTTTCCTCATGCTATCAAAATATTTTGATGAGAAAGTGTATTTTATTAAAAGCAGACATAGAATCTTTCTCTGCCTTCCCATGTGCTGATTGTTGTAAGCTGATTTAAGTTAGGAAAAAGCTCTTCAGCATTTTAATTTATAATGAACAGCTGGGTTTTTGAAGAGGATGGGGCCACAGGGGGGAATCCAGCTGGTGTCCAGGCTACAGAGTGGCTTGTCTGGGGCCTGTGGCCCATAACATGGGAACAGCAACCAATGCCTTTCTGCCATTCTGAGGGCAGGTTTTATGGTTTTCAGTCCTCATGGAAATCAACTGCAACAAGACAACCAGGAGGATCAGCAGCAACCCCTGAGGTAGAGAAAGAGAATCGCAGTGGCTAAGACATGGGCGGGGCTCAGATTTCCTGGTTCATCATCCTATCTGGGCTGTTTGGGGCTAATATCCACTTCATATGTAAAATGGTGACAATAATAATAGGTCTTACAAGAAGTATCTCTTTCAACACCCCCAGAGAGTGTTCAGGGACTTCTTCTGGGCAGGCTTCCCTTAAGGGCAATACCTGGACAGACTGTGTCCATATGGGATGAGAGGGAAACGGGGGACCAAGTCCAACCCACGCATCATTTTCCAAGCCCTACAGCCTTGTGGGGAGCTGCATTCACCATAAGAAAGGGTTCCCTACT